AAGAGAAACAAATGAGACCCTGCAATTGTGTGTAAATGAGGCAAAAAGTCAGATCAGCAACCTGGGACTTGGTCACAATTTTCGTGATGCCATATGACAGCAGGGTCTACCATAGACAACACATTATGCTTCCAATATCTTCCCAGGCGTAAGTACCTCCCTGTTTGGTAGCTGCCTAATACCTACTACCTGTTTACCAGCATTATCAATTGATATAATTAATATTTTTTTTTACATTTCATACATCTTTTCACAGATTTGTCCAGTACCATTATTACAATGAAGGTTGACATTGATCTGTCTCACAATAAAATCATCAGACTCAGTGATGCAGAATGGGATTGCCTTGAGAATCTTTTTATTCCAAACCTTGGCTACCAGTTAACAAAGACAACTGCGATATTTTTAAAATAGCATTACGGAAAATACTGTAATATTATTTTGTTCTTGTTTGTAAGTATCATTTTAGTTTATTTAGTTTTTTGTATATACTTGAGGCATTTATTGCGCTTCACGTACTTGCTTTGTCGTCTGATTGTCTCGCATGCTAGCGTCCAGTAGCCCTAGCTCTGATATCAGTTGATCTGATGATGTATTTTGTGTAAGCGTTCATTTCACTATTAGGATAAAACCGCCGTGTTATATTATGTCCATTGTTGTTTCCTCTTTGAATTGTTACAACATTTGCTTTTGTGTTATTTCAGATATGGGGTGAAATGAATCAAGTAAAGCTTGGATGTAGTAACCAAGTGTTATATTTACCTCAATTTACTCGACTCATCTACTATAAGCCTACCATGGAGAAGCTACTAAGACCCACACGTCTGGATATTGATCCTAACTCGCCTACAGCAGCCAAGGAGTGGAAGCACTGGCATCGCACAATCAAAAATTTCATTGAGGAGTATGGAGCAAATGCTCCTGACAAACTCAGAAGTCTGGTGAACAGTGTATCGCATACTGTGTATGAATTTATTGAGGAGTGAACAACCTTTGAAAATGCCATATCTATGCGAGAAAGTGTGTGTGTAAAAACTCCCAACGAGATCTTTGCTAGACACCTCTTAGCTAAAAGGCGGCAGCAGCCTGGTGAGACCCTTGATGAGTTTCTAAGAGAACTACGCAAACTCAGTAAAGACTGTAACTTGAAACCAGTTACTGCGGAACAGTATCGTGAAGAATTAATCCATGATGCCTTCATCAATGGTATTTCCTCACCACTCATCTGGCAATGTCTTCTGGAGAACAAGACACTTGGCTTACAAAATGCTTGTAATCAGGCATACTCACTTGACCTGGCCCTGCATAATGCTGATGCTTACTCATCACCAAGTGCACACACTGCTGCACCAGTTGTACCTGAGCAACCCCAGACAAAAGAACTACCCCATGATGATCATACACTAGTTACTGTCTACACTGCTTGGAAGAAATGTTACTTCTGTGGTGGTGCTTTTCACATTAGAAACAAGTGCCCGGCACATGATGCTATGCCATACTTGCAGGCAAGAAAGGGCATTTTGCTAAAGTCTGTCGGTCAAAGACATCCGTGAGTACTACTGCTACATTGTACAATCCTACTGTTCTTGCCACTACAAATGCATTTCCTCAGAGCCTCTCACGTGCAGCCACTGAAGTCACAGTAAATGGACACAAACTGAAGGCACTAATTTATTCATATAGCTCTGATAGTTTCATCAACGTCATTAAGTACCAGCTCTTCGGGGTTTTCTAATGTAACTTTGGAGCTCAATGGCTAAACGTACCCATCTACCAGCCTTGGGGTATTAAAAGACCTATTAAAAGACCTGTGTTGTGACCTGCTTTTGGGCCAAGACTTTCAGGAACAACACAAAAGTCTGACATTCAAGTATGGAGGACATAAACCAGAGCTCACAGTTGCTGATACCAATTCAGTCTGTGCACTCGCAGCAGCTTTGATGTATGAGCCATCGCTTTTTCCAAACCTGCCACCAGAATGTAAACCCATTGCAACCAAATCGCGGCTTTTCAATAAAGATGACCGCTTGTTTGTTAAGCAACAAACATCTCACTTACTGTCAGAAGGTATTGAAGCAAGCTCATCTCCATGGCATGCCTAGGTTGTTGTGGTGAAAGATCCTCTTAACAGACTACTCTCAGACTATTAATCAATATACAGAACTAGATGCTTATCCACTGCCAATGATAGATGACATGGTCAATAATCTTGCAAATTACAGAGTGTTTTCTACAGTCGACGTGAAATGTGCCCATCAGCAAGTTCCAATCAAGGAATCTGACAAGAAGTACACAGCTTTTGAACCTGATGGAAGACTGTATCAATTCTGTAGAATTACCATTTGGTGTCACAAATGGAGTTACTGTTTTTCAATATTTGATGGACAAGCTTGTGGTAGAAAATCTCAAGAATACTTTCCCATACTTGGACAACATTACAATTGCCAAACATACCCAGGTTGAACACGACGAACATCTTCGGAAATTTCTAGAAGTCGCCGAGCGCAGAAACTTGACACTTAATGAATTAAAATCCATAAAATCGGTATCCTCCATCAATGTTCTTGGCTATTGTGTAGGGAGTGGTACCATAAAGCCAGACCCTGAGAGGATGCGTCTGCTCCAAGAATTGCCACCACCCACAAACATAGGATCTATGCAGAAGGCACTGAGAATGTTAGCCTATTATGCCAATTGGATCCCCAATTTCTCAGACATGATTCACCCTTTGGTAAGAAGTAAGACGTTCCCACTGGGTGAAGCAACCTTGACAGCATTTGAACTCTTAAAAAAACGACTTGTGGATGCAACTCTACAATCTGTCGATGATGACCTGCCATTTATAGTGGAGTGCGGTGCCTCAGAAGTAGCTACCGTATTTCAACAGTCTTGAACCAAGGTGGCCGTCCTGTTGCACTCATGTCCAGGACTTTGCAGGGTAGTGAGCTACATTACCCAGCTGTAGAGAAAGGCTTCTGCCAATATAGGGGCAGTGCGTACACGGAGCCATTTCCTAGCAAGGCATCACTTTGTACCGATCATGGACCAACGCTCTGTAGCATTTATATTGGACAGCAGAAGGCGAACTAAAATAAAGAATATTAAAATACAAGAATGGAGGTGGAGCTAGCATCCTTCAACTACACCATACGGTATCGCCCTGGAAGGGAAAATGTGGCTCCTGATACGCTGACCAGAGCATTTTGCTGTTCAACATTCCCTGCATCTACTCACTGAAATCCATAATGGACTCTGCCATCCTGGAGTGACTCGGCTCCTACACTTTATGAGATCAAAAAACCTCCCATACTCAACAAAAGATGTAAAAAAAACACGTGCATCTTGCAAAGTCTGCGCAGAATTGAAGCCCCAGTTCTACCGCCCATCAGAAGGGACACTCTTCAGAGCTACTCAGCCTATGGAGCGGTTCAGCATTAATTTCAAGGGGCCTCTACCATCAGCGACCCGTAACCCTTTATATGTTTACAGCCGTTGATGAGTACTCACGCTTCCCTTTTGCATTCCCATGCCCTAACATACACACGACGACTGTGATCAAATGCCTTGAAACAATATTTAGCCTTTGTGGAATACCCAACTTTATACACTTAGAGGTACCTCCTTTATGTCCCGGGAGCTCAAGGCATACCTTTCTCAAAAGGGTGTCGCAACAAGCAGGACAACACCTTACTATCCCACAGGGAATGCACAGGTCGAACGGTACAATGGTATCATATGGAAGGCTATTTGTCTAACACTGAAGTCACACGATCTAGCAGATCAACACTGGGAATTGGTGCTTCCAGATGCACTACACTCAATTAGAGCCCTTTTGTCTACTTCACTTATACAACCCCACATAAACGTTTTTTGGGGGGTATTTCAAAAACGCTCAACTGGACCAGTGCTGCTTCGACGTTTTGTCCGATCTAGCAAGAATGAACCTCTAGTAGACCAAGCTGAGCTCGTTGATGTAAACCCAACATGCTAGCATTAGATATCCAGATGGACGCCAATCTACAGCATCTGTCCGTGATTTGGCCCTGTGTCCAACAAGTCTGACAACTCCTGTGAAGCAGCATGATGTCGAGTCTGATCACAAGAATCAGCCCTCTCAAGTCCATGACAATGGGATGAGAATAATGGATTCCCCTACTACACCTAGTATTCAAGGTCATGACTTACCATGTGAAATACCCAGTGAAGATGTTCCACCTTCCCCTGTGAGACCAAGGTCTACTCAAGTACCGAAGCTTCCCAAGCGTTATGCCTGGGATTAAGATCATGTATTGAAGTTAATTAGTATTGTGATGAGAAGTGTGTATTTGAGTTATCTGCCGTGTTTACATACAATTAGTGTACATTTTCTAGGAGGGAAGAATGTGATATTTTTTAAATATCATCATGGAAAATACTGTAATATTATTTTGTTCTTGTTTGTAAGTATCATTTTAGTTTATTTAGTTTATTGTGCAGTATACTTGAGGCATTTATTGCACTTCACGTACTTGCTCCGTAATCTGATTGTCTAGTATGCTAGCGTCTAGCAGCCCTAGCTCTGATCTCAGTTGATCTGATGATGTGTTTTGACGATGTGTTTTGTGTAAGCGTTTATTTCATTATTAGGATAAAGCCACCATGTTATATTATGTTCATTGTTGTTTCCTCTTTGAATTGTTACAACATTTCCTTTTGTGTTATTTCAGATATGGGGTGAAATGAGTCAAGTAAAGCTTGGATGTAGCAACCAAGTGTTTTAGTACCACAAAAATAATAAATGGTAAATGGTGTTCGTTCCAGCTTCAGTGGTTACATCAATACCTTGGCTTGCATATTCCCCACCCTTGATTGACCGCTCTGCAAATTCTCCGTGCATCTTGGGCGTAGGACAGGCAAAAATTCCTTGCAGCTAGATAAGCTTTTCAGATCCCCTCTCACAGACTGGTCATCAGCAAGCACAAAACACAAGGAGCATCAGGATAATTCAGAGCTTCATAAAACATTGGTTGTAATGGGTGAGTTTATCAAAAGAGTGCATGGAAAGACTACTTCTGTGACTAACCAGCTTATGCCTGCCAACAAAGGAAGGTTAGAAAATAACAAGTCAGTACTCCAGTCTATCACCAAAACCATCATCCCTTGTGGTAAGCAAGTACTGGCCCGACAAGGACACCGAGATGATGCCACCACTGAATCTGGAAATGGGGGGAAACTTTCAAGTGCTGCTTGACTCCAGAGCAGTGGCAGAAGATAAAATCCTCAAGGAGTACTTTAAGTGTCCTAAAAATGCTACTTATACCTCAAAAACCATACAGAACGAATTTATATCTGCAGCCAAGTTATTCAGAAAGAAATTGTGGACGAAATAAGAGAGGGCAGTGGTATATTCACTGTGCAAGCAGATAAGGCTGTTGTTGAAAGCAATACTGAGCAACTGCCTCTGGTTTTGAGATTTCTGAGATTTGCTGTCAGTGAAAGACAGATCAGGGAGGAGTGTGTAGGGTATTATGAATATCAGTCAGTTATAGAAGCCATTGCAGACTTTACTTCAACAGGTGAGTTGGCCAAGGAATATGGTGGGACTCGGCAAAAGTGCTGCTGTAAGGATCAATACCTGGAGTCAACAAAGTATTAGAAACAAAATCTACAAAATCTAAGATATAAAAGTTGCTAGACATCCGTGTCACGAGATGGATAGGTCGCATAGATGCTACTGAAGGTTTTTTGTACCTAGCGGAGTCTGTCCTGATCACTCTGGAGACTACTGCAAACAATCATTGTGGAATTTGGAACTCTGACTGTAAAGTAAAGGCTAAAGGTTTACTTTATACCATACAATGGCCACTTTCCAGTTTCTTTGTCACCACTCTTCTGGGAGAAGCTTTGAGTCTGTTTAGAGGGTTGAAAACTAAGCTCCAGTCCAAGACAATTGACACCATGACAGCCTATCAGGAAGTGCCCATTGTCGCTGATACAGTAAAGGAAATGTGGAGGACACCCACAAGCAGATAGATTTACAACAGTAAGGCAGTTGACCGTGCTACCAGTCTCAAGTGTGTCAGTGGACACTCCCAGGATCTGTGGTCACCAGAAGAACAGGGCTACTGCACCACCTACCACTCCAGAGGCCTACTGCAAAGTGATCATGACCATATCATTCTTGGACCACTTAAGCAAGGAGCTTCAAAGCCACCTTAAAGATAACCAAAAGGATGTGATTCAGGGATGGGCAGCCATGCCTGAGATGGTGAAAAAGCTGCCTGATTAGAAAACTTCATTCAGGCTATTCTGTAAATACAGTTAACAAAGACATACTTCCTAATTACAAGATGCTGGAAGCTAAACTTTGACTGTGAGACAAGAAATACAGTCAAATGGTCCTGAGAGGTGAACCCTCCTAGCCACCACTGCTGAAACCTTATCTATGTTTGATCCCATATGTATCCTGACATTTATAAGGCAATACAAGTGTTATGCATCCTCCCCGTCACCACATAAGACTGTTGGTGCGTATCTGCGTTGAGGCTAAAAACTTGCACCCGCAGCACCATGGGGTAAAACAGACTCACTGGACTGGTACTACTTCATGGCCACTATAACAGAAAGGTGGATGTAGAAGAGGTGGTAATGAGATTTACTCAGTTACATCCCAGAAGAATGGTACTGGGAGATAAATGCTGCAGTCAATGTAGGTGCGACTCCTGGCCATCATATTTAATTTACTTTATAGGCAAACTATAAAATGTATATGTAATCAATGTAAGTGGTGTTGTAATTGGTTTTCTTTATAACAAACATTATTAGTGTTAGATACAGTTTTGGGTGTTTTACCTTTCCTACAAGCATTATATAAATAACTAAATACCTGTATATACAAAGTTTCTACATTTAATTAAGCATACCAATCATCAATTAAAGTGAATATTTATATCAAATGGTAAAATCTGCATTTTTAACAAACGAAAACATGATCAGACAACTGAAAAGTAAAATGTATTAAAAAAAATCCCTTCCCTGACATGCCATACACTCGAGTCTCAGCCCAGAAGTCGGTCACTTTGAGGTCATGGATCTGCCCAACATCCTATATTCAAACAGGGTGATCATCACTCCAGCACAGCGTGTGAAGTATTAGAAAGCATTATAAGAGATGCCATGATGGAACACCTACTATGAAACAAGCTTGTAAAGGATTGCCAACACAATTTTATGCCGGGATGCTCCTGGTTGACACAATTGCTCAAGGTGCGGGATGTTTGGACTCAAATTCTGGAACTTGGTGGTAATATCGACAATATATATCTGGATTTTGCCAAGGCTTTTGACAGCGTAACCCATGAAAGGCTGAGAATTAAACTGGAAGAGTACAGGATTTGGGGGAGTGTCCTAGCGTGGACGAAGACTCTCATGACCGCAAGGAGCAGGTGGTGATCAATGGGACGAAATCGTCATGTGTACCTGTGACAAGCAGGTACTGCAGTGAATTGTACTGGACTTCTTTGTTTCATAAATGACATGCCAGAAGCTAAACATTCCTTCATACAAATGTTATGTGGACGATGCTAATTATTCAGGGAAATTAAAAACCAAAGACTGAAGAACTACAGTTTCAAGAGTGGTCAAAGAAATGGCTCTTAAGATTTAATGTCACGAATTGTAAGAGGATGAACCTAGGTCGTACCAACAGTAAGGAGATGTATCACATGTCCCGACAGATGAAGAAACCGCATAAACAGACCGAATGCAAAAAGGACCTAGGGGTGTATGTTGACAACAAACTGAAGTTTTCAGGCCATTTTGAGAAGGTGAATCAAGCAACTAAACTAGTAGGTCTTATAAGGTCGTTCATATATCTAGACAGTCTTTCCCTGTAACCATCTTCAAGAGTGGGGTGCTTCCCAGTCTGGTCCCCAAGATATGCTAGAGACTGTCAGTAGGTTGAAAATGTCAAAATGAGGGCCACCAGATTGGTGCCTGCAATACAGCACCTCAGTTATCCAGAGATAAGAATACCTGCAACTGCCTAGCTTGTATTATAGATGGGCAAGGGGTGACCTATATTAAGTTTATAAACATCTCAGAGGGCACTACTCAGTTAATTGTCCATACCTGGAGCTGATAGATGCCTGCCTCACAAGGCGTCACAGCTCAAAGTTGAAGAAGCCATAAGTCCAGAAAACTGAGGGTAAACTTTTCTAGAGTGAGAATTGTAAACTCTTGGAATAATCTGCCAGTGTTATAATGCCATCGAGTGTGAGCTCTTTCAAGACCAGACTTGACCAACACTGATGTAGGTTCCGATACATTCAGAAGCTAGTACCTGTCCAGTAGTATTTGCCAACAATGCATAGCAGAGATGTGACTGATCGCTCAAGTAGCTAACAAGCCGATAAGTGGTGAAGAGGATAGAAGTAAAAAGATTAGTTCTGTCACCCGTCTGGTCCCTGAGGTATACGTAACTAGAGACTGTCAATTGATTGAAAATGTCCAAAGGAGGGCCCACCAGACTGGTGCCAGGTGGTGCCTGCTCTACAGAACCTCAGTTACCCAGAGAGATTAGAACGCCTGCAGCTACCTAGCTTATACTACAGACAGGCGAGGGGTGACCTAATCAATGTGTATAAACATCCCAGGGGGCACTAATCGGTCGAATGGAGCTGGCGGACATCAGCTCCACAAGGGTTCACAACTCAAGTCCAGAAAACTGCGAGGGCAAACTTTTTCTGAGTGAGAAATGTGAACTTTTGAAACAATCTGCCAGAGAGCATTGTGACAGCACCGAGAGTGAGCTCATTCAAGCCCAGACTTGACCAACACTGGAGCAGGTTCCAATATATTCAGGAACCAGTGCATGCCCAGTACTTGCCAACAGTGCGAAACTGAGACTTGACCAACAACCTAAGCAGCTAAAGAGCTGATCAGTGGCAAAGAGAATAAAAGTAAAAGTTGTGGATGAGGGCCCCATGGTGGAAAGACGAAAATGCACATGTGCTATCTGCAAGAGAAAAATTGATAGCAACTCAATACTGCAATGTGCAACAAGTGTGAAAGGTGGCTCAATACTGCAATGAGTGAAAGGTGAGTACACAAGATATGCAGTGGAGTAGATGGCAGACTACACGAGTGGATAGTGCTCATCTTCTTTCACGAGTTAATGGCTTACACCCAGAACATCCCGTGTAACCAATGGCATACCAGGGTTTTTAAATAAGTATGAAATTATAAATTTCACCAGTGCATATACTATATGTAATGGAAACTTGAAGATAGCTGTACAGTGCTTACAGTACTGTTGTAGTGGATTTCTCCCCCACAAACGCTGTTTGTCGCTCAGTAGCCGACCCCACCAATTCCCCAGTGTATGCCTCGTGGTCTAGGTCAACCAGCGCCACCATACATCACGGAGCGGGGGTCAACTACTAAGCCACGCCTACCCCCCGCTATTTAAGACCTGACCTCGTGGTGACCTGTCTCTTTCAACCTACACCAACCAACCAGCAACACCTCCGCCGCTGCCTGGCGGCCCTCGCTCCTCCTCCGCCTGCCTGGCGGTCCTCTCCCGCCGGCGAGCATGGCGACCCACAAGCTGTCCTTCTCTGAGCGTCCTCACCAACCAGCTCTCTCTACATCACGCTTGTAACCATGCTGCCTTCCCAGCACCAAGCTGCATTGTACATCCAATACAACATGTATATAGAGAGCACATTGTGAGTTTCCTTTCTCCATCCCATCCTGAGTGTGAACCAAACATCCCTTGCCCCACAAATGGTGACTCCCGGAGATTCGCACTAATACAGGATGGAGGAGAAACAGATCACGCTCCCAGTCTTCAAGCAACATGGAAGACTAGCTTATCCACCCAGAAGCAGCTCTCATCGGCTCTACAGCTACTGTCTCTACACCGCAGGTTAGACAGCCTAGAGCAGCTCTGCTACTCTAAGCAGTCGCTCCTCTTCCGACCCCAGCACACCCGTCCTGCCTCAGACGCTGACCCGGGCCCAGCAGTAACCCCTGC